AGGTACTCAAAGTTTTCCAAAAACGCGATTTTTTGACACCTTAAACCCGTTTTTCTCAAAAACTACACACTAAAAAATAATACTTACTTTCAGTTCACTTTTGACTAAAACCGTTAATATTAGAACCATTTTCACTGAATTTCAGCCTTGAGTGTATGATTGTAAGTTGTAAAATTGACTTAATCTACTTATAAGATAAAAATTACGCCAGTTTCCAGGCATTTTGATTTTAAGATGTTAACGGCTTAAGTATTTGTTTTTTTTTTTTTTTGTAGAGCTTCGATATTTGCCGCACAAAAATCAGTGTTGATCTGTGTTATTTAAGAGGGCACTCGCAGTTGTAGCGCCAAAAAATAGACATTTCTCATGAACTTTTTCTCGTAAAATATTAAATTTTTTCAAAATATCGATTTATTTATCTAAAAGTACATAATTTAAACATGAATTAAAAATAAAAAGTTGAAAATATTAAATAGTTCCAAAGTTATGTCCAGTCAAAGTGACGTCCTACCGAAAAACATGGTTTGCGGTGACCAACACTATGGAAATCTGGTTCGTCTGAAATCAAAAAATGAAACGGATTATCTAGTATTTAATCAAAGGATTTAAAAAAATATATACAGGGTGTTCCAAAAGTATGGAAACTTGCAAATATCTCGAAAAGTACGAATTTTCGTAAAAAATGTTCAATACAAAAGTTGATCCAAACAAAAAGATCTACATTGTTGAAATCAAAAAATTGGGCCCCGGGCCCAATGTTGGGCTCTACAATGTAAAAAGTAGTTTTCTTAAATGAGACCACTAATTTTGAATATCAAATTCGTAATCCCCATGAAATTCTGCGTTCAGACATGTGGTATAAGTGCCGAAAATATTGGGCCCAATTCAAGATATCGGGCCCAACATTTTTCGACAAAGAAATAAATTTAAAAAATCGTATCTTTGGGGGTTTTTGGGGTCACAGGATTACAAAATTCAAAGCTACTTTTCAAATTGGGCACAGAGCCCAATGTAGGATTCCGCCGCCCAATGTGAGGCCCACGGTAAAAAAAATTAGTTGTCTTGAATAAAACCCACTAATTTTTAGTATCCATTTCGTAATCGTCATGAAATTTTGGATTTAGTTTTGTAGTACAAATGCCAAAAATATTGGGTCCAATATTTTTGGCATTTAGACTTATTTTTTTACTGTGGGCCTTACATTGGGCCGCGGAATCCTACATTGGGCTCTGTGCCCAATTTGAAAAGTAGCTTTGAATTTTGTAATCCTGTGACCCCAAAAACCCCCAAAGATACGATTTTTTAAATGTATTTCTTTGTCGAAAATGTTGTGCCCCATATCTTGGATTAGGCCCAATATTTTCGGCACTTATACCACACGTCTCTACGCAGAATTTCATGGGGATTACGAATTTGATATTCAAAATTAGTGGTCTCATTTAAGAAAACTACTTTTTTCATTGTAGGGCCCAACATTGGGCCCGGGGTCCAATTTTTTGGTTTCACCAATGTAGATCTTTTTGTTTGGAACAACTTTTGTATTGAACATGTTTTACGAAAATTCCTTACTTTTCGAGATATTTGCAAGTTTCCATACTTTTGGAACACCCTGTATATTTGACAAAATGGCGACCTGTTAAAGTTGACCGTTCGATTTTCGTAAAAAAAGAGTTCGTTTTTCAGCTGGAAAAAGAAAAGTTTGGCATAAAAAAAATCAATTCTTCGATTAATAACTAGATGATCATGTATTGAAAAAGTATGTTAAATTTCAAGACAATCGGTTCAGTAGTTTTCAAGTAATATAATAGTCCATATAATAGTACTTCTGCAGATGAAGCTGCTTCCAAAATCCCAATTCAAATATAAATTTCCGACACAAAATACACCTAAAAGTGTAAAAAAAATTGACCGCCTGAACCGAGTAGAAAAAGATCTCAATTACCACCTTTAAAGCAGTTTTCGTCATAAGAAACTTTCCAAAAAAATTTAATTCTTCTTAGGCAGACTATATTAATGCAATTTCCGGCACAAAATACACCTAAAAGTGTAGAAAAAAATTGAGCGCCCGATGCGAGTAGAAGACCCCAATTACCACCTTTAAAGCACTTTTCGTCATAAAAAACTATCCAAAAAAATTGAGAAACACAGCGAAAAATGTTTAGTCAGAGCAACCAAAATTTGGTTGGGCCAAGAAAAAAATTTTGTTATTATTTAAGCAATCAAACTATTTGTTTGAGTCAACCAAAAAATTTGGTTGAGTGTTTTTTGTTGGCATAACAAAAATGTTTGGTTAGCTCAACCAATTTTTTTTGTTAGGCCAACAAGAATGTTTGGTTGATCAAACAAACAATTTTTTTGTAAAATTAAAAATTTTATTTTATTTGAAATATTTGTGGACTTTGAAAAATCTCATCTCCGCCTGGGATCGAACCTCTGTTTTAAAACTGAAGGTCGGGAGCTCTGACCACTGGACTACCCATCCTTGTGAGAGATTTAAACTAACTGTTCTCTTAAGCTATGAGCTGAGAGCGAATCAAATTATTTGGTTGTCGCAAACAAATTTTAGTTAGGACAACAAACGATCATTTGGTTTTTTAGACCAAACTATTTTGTTGTGTTAATCAAATTATTTTGTTGTGTTAATAAAATTATTTTGTTGTCGTAACTGAATTTTGGTTGGAATTTAAAAATGCTCCATACCAAATAATTTTGTTGGCCTAACCAAATGTTTGGTTGAGATAACTCTGCGACGAGGGGGAATTTACTAGTTAAAAACGTGTACACTTGACTACCGGTATTACACCTCATATTACCCTTATTACTAAGTTATTACACGTTATTACAGAGTATTGCACATTATTACAGAGATATTACAGATTTTTTTGCGTTATTACAGCACCGTAATAACGCATTATTACACGGTATTACAGGAAGAGTGTACACTTGACTACCTGAGTAAATTCCCCCTCGCTCTGCGACTTTGTTTCAGCCAACCAAAATTTGGTTACAAGAACCAAAATTGTCCAATTAAACAATTTTGTTGCAATCACTAAATTTTTTTTCTCGGTGTTTTCTAATAAAGAATATCAGTTTAATGAAAATTCTGCAATATAGAATATCGATTTAATAAAAATTCTACAAAATAATAATTTAAACAAATAAAATTCGGCTCAATGAACATATTCAAGCGTTTTCGAATTCGGCTAAAAGTAAAATCTAGATAATTAAAATGCTAACTTAATATTAAAGCTTATTCATGCGTCTCGATGTCGATGGAAAATCTATATATATATGCCTCAGTAAAATTACACTGAGAGAAATGGATAGTAAGAATTTGATAGTAAAAAGAAAGATTGTACAAGGTACTATCATTGTGTTACTGACAAGAATCTACTATCAACATTTTACTATCCAAGATGTTACTCAAAGACGTAAAATATGTTAGCTTTTGGATTGTAGTCACTACTATCAAATATTGTAAAAATTAAATGTGAGCGCATGCGCTGATTGTGGTGTATACTTCGCCTATTCAATTGCGGTCCTTGTGTTTTCACGCACGTGTTTATATATAGTGAAAAAAGTTGTGAATAAAAAAATGGACGAGTTTGTTAAAAATTTATTAATGTCGTTGAATATGGAATCTTTGATTCCATCTTTTGGAGGTAGGTTTATTATTTTGATTGAATTAGCGAAAACTGAAGTGTGAACGTGTTTATAACCTCAAAACAATTTTGAGTTGTTTAGACGGTGAAATTGATGAAGAATCGTTTTACTTACTGGACAATGATACAATATCAATCATTATACCAAAACCAGAACCTCGCTTAAAATTTTTTAAAAAATTTCAAGATTACAAAAATCAAGTAAGTTTTTTTTTCGTTTGTATAAATGTACATGTGTTTATTGAAATTTTTTTTGGAAAAAAAACTTTTTCATATTTTTTCTTACTTTTTTTAAAATTAAAAATTAGTAACATAATACAAATTCAATTGACTCTGTGAAAAAAATGTACCGTTTGATAAATATATTTATGTTTAAGCAAGTCTTTTTTATAGACGGAGTGAAAAAATAGACATACTCTTTTTTATGTAAAAAGTTTAAATTCTTATCGAAATGTCTTATTAAAATAAAATGAAATTATTTAAGTTTACAAAAAAAGCGAGGTTAGGTTCGTGTATATTTGCCACTCGAGAACGTAAAGAGATCGTATAAAATTTTTAACATCAAAGATTGTAAATTGTACAATCAAATTTCTATAATCATCTGATAGTAAATACTACAATCTTTATCGCTGTCTGTATATTTAGCACTAAATATGGTTGCCCTTAACATCATTATGTTACCCAGTAGCATAAATTTCTCTCCGTGTACTTTTCTCTGTGTGTGAATTTGAAAAAAAAATGTCAATATATTGTTATTTGTAATATATATAATGCAGAAAGAAAGAGAGAATGAGAAGGAGATACTTTGAATTGAACGTGATTTGGGTATGAAGTTGTTCGTGATGAGTTAAAAGATATGAGATTGAATACTCGCAGCATCTCCTTGGAAGGTCGTGCAAAATGAAAGGAAAGAAACTCTCAGGTGCGCCTAAGTGCAGAAGATGTATCCAACTGACATGACATTGCTCTCGTCTGCGACCTAGAACGTAGGAGAGAACTCTCCCTCAGGAGACACACTTACTTCCCTGTAATTATATTAAGCGCCAAGGGACCTTGAACTCTACTGTTTCTCATATATATCTATATAGACTTACTATATTTATATGTTACATCCAACATGTTTCTTCACACACTTTAAATCCTTACTTTTCCATATTATAATTAATCTTATCAATTATTAATTCATGTTCATCGTTTGGCTTAATTGGTCCTGGAGGAATTGTACTAAACTGACATCTCCATCCTGATTGGGTTACAGAAGGTGGCCTAGAAAGTGGTGCTCGATAGCCTCCCCCTTCCCCTTTGTGACGGTCCGGCTATAGCCGGACCGTTGGCAGTCCAGCGACAGTTGTTCGTGGACCTCGAAGGACGAAAGAGGTCGAAGAGGGCATTTCCGCCTCCTCCTCCTCTCCTCCTCCTTTATTAATACTCTCTCTATATCTATCTTTCTCTTTCTATTTATCTTTTTTTTTCTCTCTTTTTTTTCCTTTCTGTCTTAACTTTTTTTTTTTCACTTGGTCACGTTCTACGTTCGGTTGGCACACTACAACAGTCAGTCGTGCGGCGCTCGCGAGATCACGAAAAAAAAAAAAAAAATTTTTTTTTGTAATTGTGTGCCCAGATTTGAATACTGAAGGTCGAAGGATGCGACGTTATCACCTCTTAGGGATTTTTCTGCTCTGCTGTCTTCGAGGTCAGTCAACAAAATCTATTCAACCATGTGAATTTATTTTCTTGTCAAATAAGTTTTTGCGAATAGTAAATATTTTTTCGGATTCAGTGTGACACGTGTTTTTTATTGATTTGTTTTTTTTTTAATTTGTTTTTTTTTGTAATTTTTATTGATTTCATTTTGTTTTTATTTATTTATTTTTTTTGCTGTCCTTTTCTTTTGTGTGCATCAAAAAATAAAATATTTTGAAATTTAGAATATATACTTGGGACCTATTTTAGAATATTTTATACTTAAATTCAGTAAACTCAGAAAAAAGATATGTTTGAACCAAATGTACCATTTTTTTTTATATTTACCCAATTTTTTGGTTAGTTCAAACAAAATTTGTTTAATTTAAATAAATATTTATTTGATCTAAATAACTGTTTGGTTTATTTTACTCAATTTTTTGAACAAAGAAAAAATTTGATTGAGCTAAATAAACAACCAAATGTTTGGTTAACTGTATATCACTCTCTAAATCTGAATTAGTAAAAATGTTTACTAATTTGAATTAGTAAACATTTTTACTAATTCAGATTTAGAGAGCAATGCATTTATTTTGTTGATTTAACCAAAATTTGGTTGCTTCAAACGAATTTTTTTCTGAGTGTATGTAATATTCTTAAAATTAGAATATATTTTTTATAATTACACCCAGAGAAATGTTTTATTTGAACCAAATATAATATATTTGAGTTAAATAAATCTATAGTTGTCTCACAGCTTACTAACCTATTTATTTGGCATAAATTAATTTTTTTTGTTTAAATCAAAAAAAAAAATTTATTTAAATCAAATAAAAATTTATTTGAATCAAATAAATTTTATTAGACTGTGAAACAAATATTCTAAGTAGTAGTAGTATATATATTCTAAGTGCTAAGATTATATACTAAATACTAAGAATGTAAACTAGGTACAGAGAATATATTCTAATTTTAAAAATATTACATACTAAATTTAAGTATAAAATATTTCAAAATAAGTCCCCAAGTATATATTCTAAATTTCGGAATATTTTTAATTTTTTGGTGTGTCAGTGTCTAAAATTTTGAACATTTAAATGAAGAACAAATTTTTTCCGTTTTAATATTTTTTTAAATTATTTTATTCTAATAAGAAATAAAAAATAAATTCAACATTTATTAAGTAAATAATTTATTTTTTAATGTGTAAATTAATATTTTTAAAATCTAAACTTACAAAAAGTAATAAAAAAAATTTGTTCATTTGAACGTTCAGAATTTTAGATACATGTGTGGCAGTTTGTTATTGTATAAAGATGTTTCTTTATAGAAAATTTTTTTTTTAATGTCTTTAAAAAATTCTTCAGATTGAAATATTTCATTAATAGTAGGATGCAATTTTTTTTTTTTTTGCTCTAATAAAATTATTCTGTTTGAGTTATTTTGTTGTAAAACAAAATTTTTTTTGCTTGTTTTAATAAAAAAAATATTTCAATATTCATTTATTCAAGTTTTATGTAAAGTTATTGTGATTTGAAGTTTGAATTTAAGAAATGTTGAGAAATTTAAATGAATTACCTTAATTGGATGTTTCAATGACGAGCTTTCTGTCGTCCCAATTAAAAACGCCGTAACTGCATTTTTTTTTATTTAAATACGACAAGAGAAAATACTAGAACAACTTAAACCATTTACATAGAAATAATGTTAAAATTTTTCTGAGACAGAAAAAGTTTTGTATATTCTCTGTAATGTTTTAGTTGCTTCACAGATATAAAGTTAAATATTAGTTGTACTTTAAAATTAAGAATATATTCTTAAATTAAAGAAAATAGTTTTGAATAAAAATTTTATTATTTTTTTTTAAAAAATAATCTTAAATTTAAAAATTAATCCTTCATTTCGTATATAATTTTGACAACTATTTTCCGAATATTTTAATGTAATTTCAATTTAAATAATAAAAATATACACTAAAAACTTTATTCTTAAAATTAGAATATATACTTTTATTTTAAATGTAAAATATATAAAAATTTTTGAATAATGTATATCAAAATTTTTTTTAAATATTTGCAAAGCATAAATTTTCAATTTGGGAATAATTTTTTTTTTAATGTTGTCAAGAGAATGTAAATATGGTGTTTTCTATTTGGACTGCAAAATTCTGTAATAAAAAATTTTACCATTTTTTTTTTGTATTTTATTTAAAATTTAAGTTAAATAATTATTATTTGTTTTGAATTTTCTATCTTCACTTTAATATAATAAATATAATTAAAATGTAATATATTAATTATAATTATAAATATAATTTTAATTATTATGATAATTATAATAATTATAATTATATTATAATAATATAATTATAATTTTATTAATTATTTAATTATAATTATGAATTTAAGAAATTTTGAATAAGAATTTGTTAGCATTCCATCTGCATATATACTGGATAAATTATAGTCCGCGCATTACTTATATCGAAAGTGTAATTGCTGATCAGGAAGTTAATAAAGTATTACCAAAGATTATCAGAACAGCGGGAAACAAATTGATATAATCGATCTTATGGACGTTATCTTATTACTATTCTTGAGAAAAATCGATTCTTTTTCAATTTTCTTCAAATTTTTTTAAGAGAGAAAATGTTCCTTTTATATGTATCTGTAAACAGTTATAAAATTTTCACAACTTCTTTCAATGTTTAAAAAATAATTATTTAGATGGCAATTATTTTTTATATAAAATGTTAATACAAAACAGTGTTTTTCATTTAAAATTTATAAATTATTTTATATTTCAAATACATTTCTGAATATAAAATCGTTGAGAAAAAAATTACACTCAATTGAACAAAAAAATTAATTAACAAATTATTTAATTATGTGATAACTGAATAATTAATAATAGGATCAGTTGGAGTAAATGGGGACAAGAGGTATTGGAGCTTAATTTACAGTTTTAAAATTAAGCTCAACGTCAATATTGGTCAATTGGCAGCAAGATAAAAAAAGTTATCGCTCAATGCATCAAAACTTGTCAAACTGTTTCAGTATTTTGTCGAGCATTTTAAAGAAAACAGACTTAAAAATCATACAAAAATTTTTTTCTTATTCCTTATGACTCCTATAACAGAAATTGACTTGAATTTTTGATTTTTGTCAATTTAGTTACACACCTGTCTTAAGGTATTTCTCTCGAAAATTGATTTAGTTAAGATTTTAATGAAACTCTAAACATAAGTTAATAAATATATGATTTATCGATTGTAAAAATTTCAACTCGATTTACCGTCTAGTTTTAAAGTTATAAACATTTGAAATTGTATAATTTTACATAGGAGATATAGGATACTTCTTCGCGCATCCAACCTTTTATTGAATATTTTTGAAAGTAGAGTTAAAAGTTTCTCAAAAAACTAATATGTTGTAGATTGATCCATTAGGAGTTATACATAAAAAACTGAGAATTTTTTACAGTACAGTTTTTTTATGCAATAAATAAAAGTAATATAATATTTTCATTTTATCCACTGCGCACACATCGCTAGTGTGGAAGAAACGTAAACTTGGCAACGCTGTAGACAGAAGATTTTTGTAAAATGATCGGGAAAAAGTTTAGCTATTAGAAATTTTACTTTTTAATCACTTATTCTTTAATTAAAAAAATAGTGGATTTTGGTAAGTTAAATTGAAAATATACAATAATAAAAATAAAACATTACACTAAAACGTCAATCGAGAAATTGACGCGATTTTTATCGCTCGAAAATAAAAACACTCAGGGCCGTATGAAGTGCCTTACGCAACAATGTGAATTTTATCTAGGGGATTTTCACTAGTGGGGCACTGAATCCACCTTAAATTTAAAAATCACAAGTACGACTTTGGCGTCAATCATAACCTAAATTCTACCCGCTTCCCCACTTCCCCTCAAGTGTTCCCTTGCTCTGTTTTCGACTGACGTGTTCTCGATTGATGTTTTAGTGTATATGTAATATATAATTATATATATAATTTTTGTGTGGTAAATTGGCCCCTCGAGTTACGCAAATTATTCAATTTTACTTTTTTGTTAATCAACAAAGTTTGAGGTTAAAACTTTACAGTTTACAGTGTTGCCAAGTCTATGCTATTGCGAAAATACAATTGTGTAAGTTTACATGTATACGTTCTGTCTATGTATATGTAGTACAGTAATTCAAAAATTTTTGTGGAGTTAAATGTGTTCAAAACTAAAGTTTACTATTGCAGTTGCGCAAAAATTTTAAGCATGTCTGTAATCGAGAGAAATACCTTAAATGAAGAAAAAGTTGGTCCTCGATGTCGAAAAAAAACTATTATATATTTTGTATCTCTGGACACTAAATGAACAAAATTTCAAAGATTCAAAATCGAAACCGATTTTCCCTAGAAAACCGCAGATGCAAACATTAGATTATCCAAATTTTCTATCACTTCTTATTCTTATTAATATACCCAACATTAGTTACTGCTATGAGAATTTGTATTTGTATCGTGTAAGAAAATAAATGATAACAAATTGGCTAAAATTGGTTCAAAGTTTTGTAGATGTAGTTGATTTATTTTTAATCTATTTAAAAATGACTTATTACTACAAGTTAAATAAATTACCGTCTTTGCAAACAATTTTTTTTACCACATAAGGTACAATCTTTTTATTTTAATCATGACAAAACGCGTGATTAAAAATAAATCAACTACAAAACTTTTAACTAATTTTAGCCAACTTGTTATCATTTATTTTCTTACACGATACAAATACAAATTCCAATAGCAGTAACTAATGTTGCGTATATTAATACGAATAAGAAGTGATAGAAAATTTGGATAATCTAATGTTTGCATCTGCGGTGTTCTATGGAAAATACTCTCTTATTATTTTTGTTGACAGTGCGGATTTAAGATTAAAATATTGATCATCCAACTTTTATTCACAAAAATTATAGTTATGTATTATTATTATTTTTACATTTAATAAGTATAA